ATCCAGTCGCATTCCCCATTTTTGCAAGTTACAATATCTTTTTAGCGCACTCAATTTCACTTTAGCTAGGTCAGTTTGAGATCATTATTGAACCTTTTTTGGCGATTCCTGGAGTTTTCTTTTAGAAAAAATATACGATTTTATTAACTTAAAAATTACGAAACATATACATAGATATAAAAACAGATGTATGTCTAAAAGATCTACAGTTAATAACTTATTTAAATTTCCTCAGTTTATCAGATTATTTATTAGATGTACGTTCATGTTATTTATACTGATTTTGCAGAAGCCCTTGATAAATTTAATTATATTACTTCAAATATGCATAAATATGATGGAGCTCCAATGAATTACTAGTTTAACTTCAATTCTACCTATTTAACAAACCGTCATAATACAATTTTACACGATAATCATAAATCAAATCCTTAATTACCTTCCTCTGGTATACCACAGGGTTCTAATTTAGGACCTTTACTTTAGGTTATATAAATTATAAATTGCTTTATGTAGATGGTTTAAAATTTTATAATCCTATAACAACATAAACTACAAAATGACTTAAATAAAAACAAATAACAACTAAACGTTTCAAAATGTTTTGTATGTATTTTACTGCAAAAAACAGGCGTAACCAAATTAATTATGAATATACAATTGGCAACAAATCTTTTGAGAATGTAAATGTTATGTCAGATTTAGGCACTATTTTTGATCAAAAATTAATGTTCGTATAAAATAAAATAATAGGTATTTTTAGAAATACTAAAGATGTGAATTTAAATGTTTATATGAAACTCTAACAAGAACTAAATTGGAATACGGATGTGTCATTTAGGACATATATTTAAATCAATTAACATTAACATTAAAAAATGCCCAAATAAATTTCTATAGCTGTAGCAACTATACTAACTGGAGTGTCCATATGATATTCCATGTTGTGTCTAAAATCTTAAATATGGTATAAATAGCCTACTAACAAGAAATGAGTATCACTGGTCTGTTTTTATTTATAATATACTTTACCTACTTTTTAAAAAGTTATGAGATTTTAAAAACTTATTAAGACTAGGGTTGGGAAAATTTCACTTTTTGCTTGTACTTGAAATTTCACTTGAAATTTTCATGACATTTATGAAATTTATTAAAATTTCCTAAATTTCTGAAATTTCATGAAATTTATTGAAACTTTCAATAAATTTCAATCACTTGTGTGTAAGTGTAAGTGTAATATATTAATATTGAAATAAGCCCACTTGGGGACCATGGCAAATTGCCTCTTTTACCTCCTACCCCTGGGCCCCTGCACCAATAATATAAATAGTAAATACCTATGTTTACCACAAATTTCTTGAGATTTCCTTTTAAAATACTTTTAAAATTACTAAAACTAAAAGAGATATAGCACTTTTTGGTAAGCTAATAAGATTGTGTCACTTTCATTGTTTTATATTTATATATATATATATATATATATATATATGTATATATATATTTATTATTTTTTAATATTTTACTGAAATTTTACGAAAATTGAAGAAACTTCATCAAAATTTTATGAGCCAAAGGCATTTTTTATCCGTTTTCCGATGCAATTATAGCAAAAGTAAAAGTTTAAATTAACCATGACTTTTAAAAAAAATTTAAAGTCTGATTTAATTACAAATTAAATTGGTAACTGAATTAAATTATTTAAATTAATTTATGCATATAAGTAACAATAATTTCAAATCCAAATCCAAGCTGAACTAAACAAAAACGCCCAGACGCTTGATAACTCGTTCTTATTGGTCGATGCGGAATCTGTAGTAAATTATTATTTAAGGTCCCAGGGAAGGCCGCATGTGAAATTTATGCGAAATTTTCAGTAAATTGCGAAACTTTCAACGAAATTTCTGAAACTTTCACAGGCAATGTTGAAATTTTCGGATTGAAAATTTCATTTGAAATTTTTAAAAATTTCACTTTTCCAACTAAATGAAATATTTCAAGTTGGAAACTTTCAAAGTTGAAATTTTCATTTGAAAATTTCAACTGTCTCAACCCTAATTAAGACTAAGAAATACGCAAATTTTAAGCAACCCATATCCCCGAATAAATAGAAAAATAAATTTGCCTCTAGTCAGTTTTGTACCTACATAAAATAAACTGTGATATTTTTATTAATTTATATAAATTTAAGACAAATATTAAACAAATGTTATTTAGTATTTAAGATTACTTAGTGTTATTATGTGTGTTTTGTTTGAATCTTCCTTCTTTGTAATTACTTTTTTTAAAGTGTTTGGAAGAAATAAATAAATCAATAGTTAAACTTATAAAATTATGAAAAGCAACTTATTTCTTTCTATTTGGATACTACTGATCAAAGGCATGTTGTTTTACTTACTTTTGCAAAAGGACTTAAATTAGAAATGGATATTAATCTACGACATTCCTTATCCAACAAAATCATCCATTAAGAAGGTGTAATATATCTCCCGTAGAAGACACACGAATTGGATATGTAAATAAAACGATACTTAATTTACCAACAAAAATAAAAAATCCCTTTTCAAATTAAAACCGGGAGCTAATAAATATTTAACGTCGTAGTAAAAACAGAAATATTATTATTGAGTTAGGTACTTTTATATTGTGGCGCGACATGCAAGTGGTGTAAGGTATTGAAATATGTATAACCATTGTTTAATCAAAGATCTCCCCAGTTAAAAATCCGCATTGCACGTTTTGTGATAACAAAAATTGTTATGTAAATGATTTTGTTTGCATTACACTACAGGCTTGCTTGATGCAAACTGTTATTTTAGTAGACGGTTTAAACAATTTTAATCTTGTTAAAAAATAAATATTGTATATGTATATATATATAACTGACTTTTTCTGACTTCCCTAACTTTCCAGAAAGTGCAATAAAATTTGCTTATATTTAATACTCCTTCCTTAATACTGCCTTCTGCAACGTTTGCTTTATATTATTTTCTTGATTTTGCCTTATATTTAGCTTTTTTTAATTTTTTGTTGTCGTTGTTACTTGGGGATTTTTTTAGCAGTTGGTAACACCCAGTTTATAACTGACAGGTAGATTTTATTTACTACTGTCAATTAAAAGATAAATTTTGTAAAAATTTTGTACTTTTTTTAAATGTTTCACTGATATTTTTGAACAATTGCGTATTAGACTGGGCCTTTTTCAACTATTTTTTTTTAAAGTATATCGAAAATATGGTTGGGGGTGACAAAAAAAATTATTGTGAAAGTTTGAGTCCATAATATTAATATTAAGAGGTCTATCATCGCAATTTTAAATTTTTTTTCCTCAGCAAGTTTTTGTCTCAGAATTGAGTTTAACAAAGTTGACTTAAAAATATTTTTTTAAGAAAATTAAATGCTCTACAAAAAAGGTTAAATGAAATTTTCCGTCAGATGAACCGTTTCCTTAAAATAATGCCTTAAAAATTTGTATAGTTTTACATTTTGATATTTTAACTTTGTAATTTTGTAATTCATGTAAAAATCAGTACCTATAAAAAACCGATAAATATTCTTATGGGTAATCAAATGTACAAAAAAACGCCTCTTAATATTTTTGGCTAAATTCACTCAATCCAAAGTTATTCAAGGTTAAAGTTGAAGTCTAGAGCGGAAAAAACAAGAATATCGTTTTGACTTCAAATTTAACCATGAATAACTTTTGATAGAGTGAATTTAGCCAAAAATGTTAAAAGACTTTTTTTGTAGAGCATTTGATTTCTCATAAGAATATCTATCGGTTTTTTTTCGGGTACTGATTTTTACATGAATTACAAAATTCTAAAATTAAAAGATCAAATTGTAAAACTATACCAATTTTTAAGGCATGATTGTTAGAAAAGGTTCATCTGACGGTAAATTCCAATTTAACCTTTTTTGTAGAGCATTCAATTTTCTTCAAAAAATTCCCAAGTCAATTTTGTTAAACAGAATGGTTTGGGAGATCTGAGACAAAAACTCGCTAGGAAAAAAAATCTTAAATTGCGATGATAGACTTCTTAATTTTAATATTATGGACTCAAACTTTCACCATAATTTTTTTGTCATCCCAAATAATATTTTCGATATATTCTACAAAAAAATAGTCGATTTTTTGGCCCAGTCTATTGTGTGTAGGTACTTTTAAAGGCATTAAATATTCTTTTTCTATGCATTAAATATTACAAGAAGTTTGGCTCATATATTTGTCAATTTTTGTTAAAAGGAATATAAATGATTCCTTCAACTAAAGCCCGTATGGCATCCTATGGTATAAACAAACATTTATTTATCCACCTTTATAATGGAAATAAATATTTTGACAACAAATAAAAATATCTCCAGTATTTCTAAAAATATGGAAACAAATCAGTTTTAAGTTTAATAAAAATAAGATATAGGGATGTAAATATCATATTTTAAATTCCATACTTAATATTAACTTCGTAAAATTGTCAACCACAGGAAAATTATGACGTCTTTGTATTACATTTTTTATATTTATAAAAAATACTTTTAAACATTTGTAAATTTAGATTTCATATTAAAAATTGTAATTTAATAAATACGCATTTGCTAGCATATTAACTGTACTGTAAAATATTTTATATTACTATTTAAATTAAAAAACTTTTGTTCAACGTATAATATCATTAACAATAAAAAAGTTCTGCCAAAGAAATTAACTTGGCCAGTAGAAGCATTCAAATAAATTTTGTTTTTGCAAGGAGAAAAGCTTGGTTAAACCATCTACCTAAGCCAAACTCATTACTGTTTATAGCTTAACAAGATTCCTTGGAAGTTTGAATTGAACGCCCACATTCGTTGTCCAATTTGGTTTAGAAAAATATAGGCCACGCTATTTAATAGCGTGGCCTATATTTTTCTAAACCAATAACCCTCTAATAATAATTAAGCAGATACCTAGATAATAAATTAAATTAAATAGTTTATTGGTTAAATTGGTAAAGTTATTGACTTACAATTTGCATGGAATTCCTCATGTTATCTAAGTCTCCATTGACCGCAACAGTGCAACAAAATCATTTTCGAGTTCACTTATTTTCACAACCACAAAGAAAAATCACATTATCACACATAACTAAAATATAACAAAGAAAAAATCAACAAACAAAATTCGGTGGAAAGATCATCAAGAAAAATTGGGATGCCAAACCCACATTTAAAGAATAAAAAAGACAAAAAACGATAAAAGTTTATCACTGAAAATTCAGACAAGACTGTTTGGGTGGTGAAATTTATGATAATATTGTTTTTTGGTGGAGGTAAAGAGCTCGTTTTTAGTTTTTGGTTTTCGTGTGCGAAAAACGGTTTTCCCGACGCACATGGGTTTTCCAGGACCACGAGCCGCGTTACACTAAAACTCCCGTTCCTTAATGGTGGAGTTTTGGTGTGCGGTCGGCCATCTTGGACATGCGTTCTGTCATTGTTCCTGCGTTTCGAAATCAATAGGGTCGGGTTCACGAACAAGCTAAGGTGACACGAAACCCCTAAAGGGGCAAAATTGATTATTTCTCGAAAATTATTGTTATAATAAATCATTGCTAACTTTAATTTTATGCTTTTCATTATATCCCAAGGTTTTCATTTCATTTATTTTATTTATATTAATTTATTTACTTTAATGCGTGTTTCATTTTGCATTATTTATGTAAAATTGTAACCACGTAAAAAATTAAAATAATATGCAGCCATTAGTACAATTGTTTAAACATAAAGTTTTTCGATATACATATTAGTGTAATAGTCAATACAAATTAATACCGGCGCATCCGCCATTTTTTGCAAAATCAAGCACGCTTAATTTAAATTAATGTTTTGTAAGTTTTCATGAAAAAACGAAAAAATATACAGCAATTAAAAAGAAATGTATCTTTAAAGAAATGTATAACTGTTAGAAAATAATACTTTAATTACAAGATGACGTCGAAAACAAAACAGCCATCGCGGTTGTTTTAGATATTTCTATCACAATATATAGGTAAGAATTTTTTTAGGACATACAGGGTATTTATTTATTTTTGACAATATTAAGGAGATATACACTGTTCAAAATTTCATGACCATTTTAACACCATGGTGCATACATGGTCTATATCGATACAAACCAAAATGGTGTTAAATATGGTTCCTTGGCCGGTGTAAATTCAAATACTAAAATGATATTAATTTAACTTTCACATAGTATTAAAATAAATTTTACGTGGTGTAAGTTGAACTCCTTTTCAGTGTTAAATATTATGTGTTTGTGGTCAAATTAAATCATACTACACAGAAAAAAGGAAAAAAAAGGAAACAGGAAGTTCCTTGACGCATTGCTAGTATATTACCAATGCTATTATTCCAGAAAATGGAACCTTCAACTCGCTAGAGATAATATTTTTAGTGCGTTCCACTAACTTAAAATACTTGAAGTATTGACAGCTGTTTTCACCTATTTAAGGTCTCTTTAGTATCAAACAACTTGTAATGTCACACCAAAGCAAAGGACCACCTGAGTTTATATATTCTTCATGTAAGTCAACAGAGGCGAGATTTAAGAACATCACGTGATCCACACCGCCTTTGCCGCGATCGGTACACATTTTCAACCATAATTCATGGTGTTATATTTTGACACCATTTTAAGATTACTTTTTACACCACAGATATTTTAAACAGTGTAGTTTTAAGACAAAAATGTTCCATCCAATTTTTTGTAGGTCGCTTCGTTTTCCAAACCCTAAAATTGACAAAAAAAGTATATTTTCCACTCCCATACTTTAATTCGTTTAATAGACATTTCCTACCTGTTCTATAATGAGATCCATTATGATACAAATTTTTCATTACCATAGAAATGCGATACACGATAATATTCTGTCAATACTCTAAATTAGCAAGTTTTCGCAAGTTTGCGAAATCTGGTGGTGTGTTAAAAATTCATCAATATATTTAAGCATACTGCACATAATTTTTAAATAAATAAGTAGTTTATTATGATAGTCGTAGAAAAAAACTTTAATTTAATGGATATTAAGACCCTCGCACTCATTATTAGTGTCATTTTGCTAATGTCATAATTCTTATGGTCATGTCTTAATAGCCATCATTGTCATTAGTACATTATGCAATAACGAGAGACGCAAATCATCCGAGTGTAATATTTTATATGTAATAGTATAAACTATACTTTTACTCCAATTAGTATATAATTAAACAATTTTTACAATTAAATATGGTCGCCTTCCAATTTAAAACCCGATAGAATTTGAGTACCTATTCCTGTTTTTATTTATTAATAACAGATATTTGATTTTTTTAAATTTGACTCCCTGTAAGTTGAAAACAGAGCATTTCCGGACCTATGTTTATATGAACTTTTCGTTTTAGAATCACTTAAAAAATCGTCCCCTAAAGTTTGGCCACGTACTTAAATAACACCCTGTGTATGGGTGAATATTTCAAAAGTGTAATTCAATCGGTTCTAGCTTGTTATTTCAAAAGTTAATATCCCACTGAAAATAAAATACTTGATGTCTAGTTTAATTAAAGTGACCACATCAAAAATGTCAAAATCCGGGACAAAGCCAAAAAATCCGCCAAAAGCGGAAAAGTCCGCGGCAGACGCATTTTGTCGATACAAAGGCGAAAATATTTCTGTGGAAAAGGGGAAAGGGGGGAAATGGGAGGGGAAGGTCCAGAAAACAAAATCGTTTAGATCAATCATTATTCAAATAATTCAAATAATAATATAATATATATACAAATGTAGTTAAATTAAAAACTATATAAAAACCTAAAATTAAATATATAATATATAGTTTTTAATTTAACTACATTTGTAAAGAGTTATTTTCTTAGATTGCAGTTAACATTTTGGAATGTCATTACTTTAACTCTCTGTAGGGCAGCCTTTTAGGGTTGAGTTAGTTTACTGTGTTATAACGAATACCTAGGACAGAATAATGTATTTTTTAACAATTATGTTTAGGGTTAGACCGGAACCGCCCAAGTAATAAAAAGTTTTAAAAGCCTTTAATAGTAAGTTTGGAATACGGAATATGCAATTCCAAACGTGTTTCAGACTACTTTTTCTACGTTTCCAAAAAATAGCATAGACAAATAATTGAATTGGAAGTAAGTGAGGTTGGATCGGTCTAAAATTTGTTAGATATTAAAAACAAAGATGTCGCCACGAGTGTATATTCTGTCATCAGATGATTCAGATCATTCCGTAACACTTTACGGAATAAATGTCATTCCATAGATAAAAGTGATATTAGAACGGTCATATTCCATAATAGGAGTAGAAAAAGTTTTTTATTTGACAATGTAATGCTTTTCATATTGAAAGTTAAAATGACACAAGTGCACTTAAATAAAGGCATTTAACTTGTTTTTTCCTTCCGCACATACATGGTAGCAATATTAGCATAATAATTTAGGTTGTTTCAGAACTTAATAAAACAAGTGTTACACTTGTTTTATTAAGTTCTAATACACTTGAAGTGTATTACTATCTGGTAAGACTCTCAGGATATTTTGACTTAAAAGTGCACTTGGGCGATATCAGCTCTACCCCTGCAAATGTAAATGAGTCGTTTAAATGTAAACGCCTACAAAAGTTACTGCACTGAAATAGTAAAAGACAAAAAATACGAGTTCTTGCAACATATAATACCAATATAAAAAACTACTGATACACGTTTTTTTATAATGCATTGGCATTATAATGACAAATTTTTTTTTTATTTTTTCAAAATAACTTTTATTCATTGTCATTAAGACTAAATAATTAAGTATTATAGGGGTAAAAACTAAAACGCAAGCTCAGTATTATTGTCTTTAATACAAAAATATATTAACAGTTACAAAATTATGCATTTCTACATTTTTAAGTACCAATAGGGGTTTTACAGAATACATCTACAAAATATACAAATTAAATTAAAGAATGTACATTATGTATTTGTTATATATTTACAAAAATTATTTATACACTTTCCTAAATAATTTTTACAGCGTAAATACTTTTGAAAGATGTGATGGTTTTTGGGAGTATTACATTTTTACAAATACATAATAATTAAGTGGCATTTTAATGTTCATTTACATTAAAATCGATAAATAATACTTGTTTGGCGAAAAATTCTTGTCTAATAATATACAAAATTTTTGTAATAAATAGTAAACCTATTAAAAACTGTTTAAAATTAGCCATGAATTTTAGGCTAAACTAAATTCTAAAGTGCTACAGAATTGGTCACACATTGATATATTTGGTCCTAAAAATACAATAAATTATCTTTTTGTTCAATTAGTTACATTATATTACCTATTCTACGTTACAAAAATATCCACCCATCTAAAATAATTGACAGGAAGTTAGTCTTGAGAAAACCAAAACTCTTAAAAAAATTTAAAACATTAATATTTTTTATGAGATGTTTACAAAAATTTTTTGATTACCTAATTGATTTAGGAATGGAAATTATATTTTTTATGATTTAGGTTACAAGTAAACTATAGCTAAATTGACATAGTTAAACACCATACTTATTAAAAATCGGTAGGTATATAATTGCTACGTTCAATAAATACTAAATTATTAGGGGTGCTTGAAAATAAGCACAACATTGAGATATGCTAGTGGTGTATAAGTAAAACAATGGTTAAAATCGCTTTCTACAATAAATAAATAAAATCTTAAAAAACACAAAAATCGTGATGGTTAAAATAAAAAATATATAATAATAATAGAGAATATTTGCGCGCATTATCACAGATGTTATTTGTTGCTTAAAGTTTCATTAATAGAAAGTAATGAAAAATTAATAAAACCTAACAAATTAATGCAATGATTAGGTTAAGTAAAGCTATGACTTATATTTCCCTTTAGAATTTTTCATGGTGCCCTCATTCTCTTCCAGCTTCTTTGGACGCAGGATGAAATTAAGATTATATGCTGTGTTTACGGCATAGTAGACATTTGCGTTTGAGGGTAGCATCATTTCTGCAAAAAATAAATAAAAGAAAATATAGAAAAACTCATTTTAAGGTTTTTTTTATTTTACTAATGAGGGGACGCCTATCCAGAAATGTTATGTGAGCCAAAAAGTACCAAATGACAAAGAGCAGTTTTATAAAATGTATTAACCTTCACCAGTCTGAAATAAAATATTTCCGTGATGAGCCCAAAATGGGTCACTTGTAAAAAATGTTTTATAAGATTTTTTATTTAACGCAATAAATAAAAATAAAAATATATCCACAAAAACAACAAAATAAACGGTAAGTAAAATTCTTTGAGTTCCATTTCTCTTTCAATCTTTATCAAAATTCTGCAATTACTCTGCGGTAAAGCGTCTCCCAAAGTTCTTTTTCAGACAAAGTCCTATTTTTATTAAAATGGGAAGCATTGTTTGAACAAAACTTCGCTTTGTTTTAATGTGTATTTATTTGATATGAGCTAAAAACATTGATTCTGAGAAATAACAAAACAGGTGACCCAGGCGACAAAAGAAGTATGAAATAGATATTTGTGTATCAGTGACTTGTTTTAATGTTTAATGTTGTTTTGACACTTAATAAATATAATGTAAAAGTCAACTTTTAATGACAATAAAACATGCAAAAAAGTATAGTAAATTACTATTAGTAATTGGACATTTTATATAGTAATTGGACACATGGACCATAGTTTTTGGACATACAATTTTTATATAAACATAACTTTACATCAAATAACATAAATTGTTATATATTTTTTAGAGATAAATTACTGTTTTAGGTAATTTTTTTTATTTCGTTTTTGTAAATATCATATAATTCATATATTTCTTTTTCGGATTCCTCATCCCTTTTCCGGATTCTGAAGGTAACTACTAATTCCTAATAGTTTATTGCAAATATCATTAAGTGTGGTATCTCTAGTTTGAGAAGCATTTATAATGTTTAGGCCGGAACAGGATGATTTATATATATATATATCTAATATTTTTTCTGGTGGTATGTTAAAAGTATTTTCCGAATTTATTAATTTTGTTGCCATTAGTTTTTTATGTTCTCTATACTGCCGTGCTTAATGAAAACGCCGTAACCAACAATTTTGCGATTTTTGGTTTACGGCATTTTCTACTAGAACAATTCATCCTGCGTCTATACCCGGTACTCAAAAAACCGTATAGATATAGATACGGTTTTTTGAGTACCGGGGATAGACGCAGGATGAATTGTTCTAGTAGAAAATGCCGTAAACCAAAAATCGCAAAATTGTTGGTTACGGTGTTTTCATTAAGCACGGCATAGTCCGGTCAAATTAGACCAAAAAATAACAGTGAAGGTACATAAATTTACAACAGGCTGAAAATCAGTAAAATTGTTCAGAATATAATTATAAATAAAATTTTAAAGTTCCCCATCATTCCCCTGTATGGAAAAAATTTGATTCAAGGTCAAAGTTCAAAAAAATTAGTTTTTTGCGATTTTCAGCAAAACGGGAAGTTTTATCACAAAAATATCTCTGACAAAAATTGTAGATCATAAAATTGTCTATAAAAAATATATCGATACTTTTTTTCCTAAGAGCCACCGTTTCTGAGATATAACGATTCGAAAAGTTGTAATCGTCATAATATACATGAGTACGTCACGTATAAACATCTCTAGAGTTTTAATATACAGTGCTTGCAAATCCAAGTCCGACCGCGTTGGGAAGGATGGTTGTTCAATACCCGCATGAAAAGAATAAGGATAGAATGCCAAACAGAATTTGATTGGTCAGAGCGTCAGGCGTGCGTATTGTAAGCGCCTTCTGTTTGGCGTTCTATCCTTGTTAATTTCACGCGTCCTTCCCAAACCGGTCGGACTTGGATTTGCAAGCACTGTATGTTAATATATTTTTCCATCGGTCATTTTCACTTACACTTAAAATATAAAATATACCTACATAAGTTATAACTATAAGAATATCAAGTGAAGTCTCGATGGCTTATAAATTAATTAATTTATGCCCAGTCCCTTAAGGGACTGGGCATAAATTAATTAATTTATAAGCCATCGAGACAACATCTGTGACAGATGACAGATGATCTGTCATCTGTCAACTTGACATCTGTCACCTGTCATATGTCACCTGTCACCTGTCATTTGCCACCTTATCGATTTGATTTCGGGGATTTTAATTGGTTAACTTTTTTAAATACACAACAAAAATTAAACGGGCTTCTGGCCGATTAGTTTTAATTTGATGAAGCTCATCTTTTAGTATGTCAAACTTTGGTCGTTTACCCGTCGATTCGTGTATTTCGTTCGGCCAATTTCGAAAATTTCTCTCGCCCTAAAAAACGTTTAAATTTTTTTCGAAAAAAATAAAAAAAGATCGAAAAGTTTCCGGCGGATCCGGCCCGTTTGCAATATTTATTTTTTCCGTTGTCTGCTAGTCTGTATATCCTTTTTTTTCTAAGCGCCGTAGCTCGGAGGCCGTTGAAGGCGGACACAAATTTGCATCCTTTTTTCTGCACACGAGACCTATCCGCGGACCAAATTTTTCTGGTGTTGAAAAGGCCCAAGTCCACTTTTTTTCGATTTTTCCGTCAAATTTGGCACGTTCCGTTGTCTTCGCTTAACTTTCTAACGAGCGGAGATTTTTCGGCCAAACTCGAGGAAAAGGTGCTTCGGGACAAGAAGTTATCACCAACGGCATTCGATTTCTTCTTTCTATATACGGAGCTCCTAAAAAAACTACCTGCTTTGATAAGTATCGATTAGTTCAATTAGCTTGTCTTCCTCCAACCTCAGTTGCTGCTCATCAAAATATTTTTCGGGTATATTACCAAGTTCAAGTGTGGCTTGGTTATCAGCTAGACCCTACAGACTGGGGTTGGAAGTTGGTCAATAACCCATTAGAACCTGTTCAAACTTTACTCCCACCTGCGGCCGAAAAAATGCTGAAAACAATTTTTTGCAACTGCAAAAAGGGATGCAGTGCTAAATGTGGTTGCAAAAAAGTCGGACTGTTTTATTCTCTGGTATGTACGAATTGTCAAGGCCGGTCGTGCTCTAATGTTGAATCACAAACAGTGGAGGATTCATTTAATTCCAACGAGGTGACATGCGATACATCGCTACTGACGCAATTTACTTGTACCCAGGATGAAGATGAAGAAGAAGAAGAACAAGAACAAGTAGAAGAATAAGAAGAAGAATTTAAATGTTACGAATCAGACTAATTAATTTCAGTATTTTTTTTTTAATTTACATCGCTTTTATCTTTTCCAATCATTGCTAATTTCCGTTATTTTGCAATAGTTTCAAATTAAACAGGATCCCAACTGACCCGTGGAATAGACTACTGGGGAAACCACATTAAAAAACGCGCTAAGTACACTACCTAATAGATGGCGTGGAAACGTGTGCATATTATGACGATTATAACTTTTACAACTTTTCGAATCCTTATATCTCAGAAACGGTGGCTCGTAGAAAAAAAAGTATTGATACATTTTTTATAGATAATTTTATGATCTACAATATTTGTCTGGGGTATTTTATGATAAAATTTACCGTTTTGCCGAAAATCGCGAAAAATTATTTTTTTGACCTTTGACCTTGAATAAAAATTTTTCCATACAGGGGAATTATGGGGAACTTTAAAATTTTATTTATAATTATATTCTGAACAATTTTACTGATTTTCAGCTTGTTGTAAATTTATGTACCTTCGAATGTCTAGATTGACCGGACTAGCAGTATAGTATTTAAATCACTGTTATTCTGCAAGTTGTCCTGTGACGAAGAAATCAGTATACTGCCGTGCTTAATGAAAACGCCGTAACCAACAATTTAGCGATTTTTGATTTGCGGCATTTTCTACTAGAACAATTCATCCTGCGTCTATTCCCGGTACTCAAAAAACCGTATTTATATATATACGGTTTTTTGAGTACCGGGGATAGACGCAGGATGAATTGTTCTAGTAGAAAATGCTGTAAACCAAAAATCGCAAAATTGTTGGTTACGGCGTTTTCATTAAGCACGGCAGTATATTACTTACTCTCTAAGAATCAAAGTCAAAAATGTCACAGCGAAAAAGCACCCACTAATTATACTCGTCAACAGCAATTTGTATCCAAGATATTCAATTCCTATGAAATATTATTTGCTGAATCCGAAAATGTCGTCAAAGGTTATTAAAGTAGAACAGTTTTTGAAATATAATCAATTATACATATAATATGGAATTGACTATATCTCAAAAACTGCTTAATTTTTATAGTTTTTGGCCGTCTTTTCGGACTCAGGGGACAATTTTACATAAGAATTGGCTGGTAATAATAAATTGGACTTGTTCAATATTGGACACTGGCCATTGTACTGTTTGTTTTCAGAATTAAAATTAAAACGAATTAAAGTGACAATGTTTAAACCATGAGAAACACATTTATACCACACACTGATCTGTACACTTTTTAGAAATATTTTTTATAGTAATTTAAACAGCCATGCTCTTTCAAAAAAACAAAAATCTTACCACCACAGTAACGTGCGAATTTTTTTGTCACATATTGTATTTATAAATAAAGTAGTTCTATATTATTACCGACTGAGATACAATTGTATACAGCGGCATCTAAGGCATTAACTTTAGGGTAACTATTTATAGAACTCTTGTTTTTAAAATATTAATGTTAATTGTCCAATAACTATAAAGTGTCCGATAACTGTCTACTTTACCCTATGTGAAAGAAGTTATCAATATACTTATAAATTATATACTAAAAAACTTTCAACAATATTATGAGAACAATTTAAAAGAAACTGAAAAAATCATTAGAAGCAAAATTAAAACTATAAAAAAAATGCAAAAAACAACTTGTTTTAAAGGAAATAAATACTGACCTTTATCGGGCAAAACTTGTGCTAACGTGTATTGGTCCGGATTCCCTTCAAGACTAAGTTTGTACATCGCGTTCCTAATAACTTGCGGCGTCCTTTCATTATTACTCAACATTATACTTTTATACAACACTATGCCATCCGTCTCCACACTGCTGGTTTCATACGTAACTTTAATTATATAAAAATCCGGACTGCTTTTGGAGGAATTCAAACTTAAAGTACCCGAAGTGTTAAAAGGTACTTGGAGCTTGTTGTTCGCGCTCCCGGAATGCGAGCTGTTCAAAGAGACATCTAGCGACGGTAGGGAGGAATTGCTGCTGGAATTCGACATCTGAGAGGGGCTCAGTTTGCGATCTATGCTGTTGTGAGGCGAGCTCGGCGTGCTGTCGATATCACAGTAAAATTGCGAGCTATTGCTGCTCGAGGTGCTTGCGATCGAGTCGTTTTTCTGATGGCGTTTTTTAGTTTTCGTGTTTGGTGACGGTTCGATTTGGCAACTTAGCTCGTAGGCCACTCTATCGTCTAGAACTAGGATGGAGTCGAACCACCGGTTGAAATTTTGGTCCTCGACGAAATGATAGGCGTTTGCTGCTCCTTGCAGAAGTTTTATTTGCGCTAAAACTTCAAACTCTTTACGGCGTTTATCGAAATTTATCAAACCGTCGGCTATAACGTCTGGTATTGCTGTGTCGATGAACGTGAGGTCCGTTAAAAATGTGCCCAGGTAAGGTATGGTGCCAAAGGAAATATTGGCAGTGTGGTTGTTTTGTTTTTGGAAAATCTTCTGCAACTGCCTATCGTTTTCGCCAACAGTATCGGCGAATTTCGCCGTACCTTCTCTCATCAGTAGCTCTCTCTGAGTTAACTTGTTATTGTCTTCGCTGAAAATTCTCGCGAGCTCATCGAAGACCTCCAACTTCTCCTTCGACACGGCCTGCCAAGACTTTTGCAGCCTGTAAATCGGATTGCTCTGCAAGCCGCTTATAATCGCCTTTAAACTCGAAAAATTCTTAATCAACCTCAACTCTTGGGCAATGTCAATCCACGCCGATATAATGGCCGCTCTATCGTTTGTTTTCAACCCTGGGTCCACCAAAATCGAAGAAATAACCCGAAACGAAACAGCGTTGAACTGATTAACGGTCGCTAATACGGTGGCTGCCTCGTGAGACCGGCTTTTATCCCTGCGCGACCACACAGCGCCCAGACACTGATGTGGCACCAATTTTTTAAACAGATCCTACAACAAAAACGCGCCATTTAGTTTTTTGTTGGATTCGTCGGTTGCCGTTTACTCACCACATCCATTCTTGTTAGTTGTTCAGCAAAATGTCTCACTGGGATGTCGGGTAGTTTGAACAATTTATAATCGGAAGGTAACATTCTCATTGCGAATGCCGAGGGTGGTGGCAGGATTGGTTCAGCATTTGCTTCTGCGTTATACCTATAAAAATAAAATATTATTAATTTTTTTTAATTCAATATTTAAATAATTGTATTAAAATTGATGTACAAAATAAATGAGGAGCATCCGTGCAAAACCGGCTATATCCACTTTAATAAAATGTTGGGAAAATGGCAAAAACTCTCGGTTTTCTGGCCTTTACAGATAAAAGAAAAAGCAAACTTGAGTTTTGTGGGCTTTGTAGCACTTGATTTATAAGACATAGTTTCGTTTTCAAAAACTTTATATTAAGGCCAAAATTTCAAAAAATGTTTTGGATAGACGGTTTTGCTCAAAAACCGAATAAAAAACGAATAAAATGTGAAAAATAAACATTTTATTCAAAAATATTAACAAAATAAATTTAGTGCAAACATGAAAATTTTAGTAGTAGTATCGACAGATCCGAGCCACATGCTCATCATCATTATTATTTATTGGATACAGCCGGGTTTGCTATAAAAACGTGGATTTGGCGGTTTTGCTCCTAAAGCTACCTTTTAAATGTGATTTTAACATGGATATAGTTGGATTTGAACAGAATTATCTTGTTGTCGATAGAAATGAACCCAAGGATGCGAAATCAAAAAAAAACCAAAAACTGAATAAAATGGATTCTCAAATAATGTTTCAATTAATTAAGGTACCTAGGTACTTGAAACAAATATAATTGAATCGAACGTTATAATTTAAGTAAATATATTTATCAAGCAGTTCTTTTATTTTTGGTTTATTTATCGACACAAAAATATTACATGAAATCTATAACAAGAATTAAATGCGGTGATTTTAAGGGGTTACCTAAAGGTCAAAAAAGCATATTTATTATTATATTATTTAAGAAAATTTGAACTATTAAGGCCGCTGCACAATAGCCCGGTGCATGGTTGTAAAAAACTTTCTTAGCTCGAATATGTATTAAAGAAAAAATCGATTAAAGTTCAAGTAGTAATAAAATAAATCTCTATCTCCTAGTCTTAAAACTTTGGAAAAATATTCTTGACATGTACTATTTTATAATTTTTTTAAAAATAGATTTGATAAAAAAGCGAAGTTTTAAGTAATAAAAAGAGCCGAATGGAAGAAGTTTCCAAATGCTCTATCTTCGAGAGTCGGTAAAATTGGTATTTAAAAATAAATATTCACTTGGGAAAATGTTCTTATACAGGGTGGCGTAAAATAAACGTTATGGTTTAAATGCTTATAACTTCAGTAATTGTAAGTAAATTCAACTAATATTCAGAGGGATTATATTTTGAAACATACTTATACCAGAAGGCAAAAAATGTTCAAAATTAAATTTTAAGCAAAAAAAGCCCAAAATGATTTTTCAATAGGCCTGTTTTTAAGGTATCGACGTTTAATTTTTAAAAGATATATATTTTAAGTTTAATAAAAAAACTAATAGTAGGCCATATGAGGACCCTAGAAGCCAAAGGATGGATACAAAATAGATTTAAAAAAAATAGCTATGTACAGAAAATTATAGTAAATATAACTGAATTCTAAGCTTAGACAAAACAAAACAAAGTCATAAAACAACAAACAATTTTGACTACAAATTACAAGTGTTTTTTACTTTAACATGATTATCTCAAAAGTAAACAAAATGTACTTGTACCCCTTAACTTCTAGGGTCCTCATATGGAAACTTTATTTACTTCCTGTATCAGTTATACAGAAACAAAAACCCTCGGAAAAACACTTCTTTATAACAATAACCAGTGCAATAATATGTGACAACTGTCAACAACTAGTTCATTATAATTTTAGAAAATTGTATGCCTCCACGGCCATTTCAAGCGCCCGAAACGCACGAATTACAAAACTGTTTTTGTAAAAAAAATTGTGGATTATTTATTATATAATATTTTGGCATCAAAATTGTCAAAAATATTCTTCTTTTATTAGGTTAAACATTAAATAAAAAAAAACTCAAGAAATATTTTATGAAAGTAGATATAATTTTAATAATTGAAAGGTGTGGACGGGACAAAAAAAGATTTATCTTGTCCCGTCCACCCCTGTCAATAATTGAAATTATCTCTACTTTTATAAAATATTTCTTGCGATTTTTGTTATTAAATGTATAGCCTAATAATAGAAGAATATATTTGACAATTTTGATGCAAAAATAATATTTAATAAATTACCTACAATTTTATTTATAAAAACAGTTTTGTGATTTGTCCCGTCCATCCGCTTGAAATGTCCGTCCATCTCCAAAACAAAGGCTGATCGGAAAAAATATATTTAGTATTTTTTCCTAGAACCCAATCTTAAACAATAATTCAATCATTTTTTGCCTTCTGGTATGTTTTAAAATACAGTACATGAATTTTAATAGTACGAATTAATTTAATAAGGGTCTAGAAAAGTTTATAAACGTTACATATTTCCTATGACAAATACTTATCATTATCTAAAAATAATTTAAATTAAATATTTGGATAAATCGACATCTAAAAACAACTTGGGAATCTGAAATGTCAAATTTCTTCACCCGAAATTAAGTTAAATCTAGTTTAATACCGGCGAAATGAAAAGGTCAGTACAATGTTCATATAAACTTTCAGATATTTTCGTTGAGAAACTATTTAACACTTTTGTATTGAGATAATAAAATAATGTTTACATTTAGTACTATTTTATAACGCCACTTTATTTTAACGATTGAATTTGACAACTGTCAACTAACTTAAAACCAACTTGTCAATGTGTATTTAAAAGGTCACTGTGTCATGAAAACATGTACCCCCATTTTAAAGGTGGGAGTAGAAAATATATTTATTTAACTTAAAAACATAAAAAATACTCCGATTTTAGTAAGTTGGGTGATATCAGGTTTTTTTCTGGGAAACAGTGTTATTGTTATTGCTATAGCTATTATAAAAATGTTATCAGCTATTTCTTTCCTTTTTTAGACTACTGTTAGTTTTTTCAAAGTGTTAAATTATACTATTTAACAGTTTGACGTCAAATTCATTGTTTATTGTTAAAAAACAGTTTTTGCATTTTAATGGTCAAAAAAGCAAAAGCTTTGAAATCGTGTGTAATCACTTTCCAAGCAAATAATAAATATATGGTTTAAAAAACAAACCTATGAAGTCGATGTTTGACTTTGGCATCAAGTTCAGTGGCGGGTAAATATTCTTCGCAAAAATGCAAAAGATGACAGAGGGCGGCATGATTTGGAGGCTCCTTAAAATCTTCGGGATAACTATCAAGCCACACGTGAAGGGCGGAAATGAGAGTCCTAAAAAACAAAACAGAACAAAATAAAACATCAACATTTTATTTCCCTATTTTTTCTTACTTTCTGTGCTGCTCGTGCTGGTCGGGCTTGCCGTTTTGCTGCGAGTCCGACAGTTCCTCGTAGCGCTTAAGCAGCAACTTAAGTACTTCTTTGGGCGTGGAGAAGCTGCGGTAGGTGGCGAGGAACACGTTGATGTAGGTGGTTTCCAGTTCGCCATCGTCGGTCGACAGCGCCTCCACCAATTTTCTCAGCGTTCCCGCTTTCACGAACCTGACGCGCACCGTCTCCCATTCCAGGTGAGATATTTCGTCGTCAGAGTCCTGAAAAAAAATAACAAATTTATAAAAATATTTCTGCGAGTTTCCTTTTTTTTCTTAGATTTTTAAAATTGCAGGATAATCAAATGAGTCGTCTAATTTCAAAATCTCCACTGATGAATATTTTAAGTAAATGAAAAAAAAAACATTTTAAAAAGTAATGGGTAAAAAATAAAGATATTTTGAAAAACTTCTGCATATGGTAACTAAAAATATTTTTTCTACGACATAAATAACCTTAATTGACAAAAAAGAAGATTACTTAAAATTATTCTTTTAAAAGAGAAAAATGTAAAGATGCCTCTATCTATTAGTGAATGTTTTTTACTTGAGACTATCTTATTAAACTATAAACAAGTTTCAAAGAATCAAATAGAACTACAAGAAATAAACTAATTTTTCCAATAATACGAAAAACGATAAAAATAAACAGTAATGAACTAGGCAATACAACTGTTTAATGCACTGGATACAAATTTAAAAATAATTGAAAAAAACAAAAATCATACAAAAAAATGTACCATTCATAAAATGTATCCCTATACACCTGTTCAATAAATTATTATTAAATTAAATTATATTTTGATTTTATTGGTGTAAACAACTTATTTTTCAAAAATTTTGGAGATGGCCGCTTTTGAAACTAGATAACTCAAATAAGGAATTGTCTTTATAACAAAAAATACTTGAAATATTTATGCGAAATGTTATGAAGCTAAAACAAGAATTGGAATTAAAAATTAACATTTTTAAATAATAAACGCAATTAGATCTGATTCCAAATGGAGTTGTTTTTAAAAAAATTGAAGAACTTAAAACGCCCCAAAAAATAACAAAACAAAATTTTACAAGGAGACAATAAAAATTAAGAAAACTATACAGGGTGTCCCGAAAATGAATCCATCCATTTTATGTTACATGGGCCATTATACTCTGCCAGTTGTACCTAACATTTCCTATAAATATCAAAATATCGGATACATATCGATATATATCCGATATTTATCAACATCTTGATATTTATTTATTTCTTATAAGGTTTTGGTCAAAAATTAATTATATTAGCCAGAATAAAAATAAAAAAATAAATTTTTAACAAAAAAATTATAACATTAAATTTTAATTTCAAAAAGTAATAGTTAAAGGTTCATCATCACATCTTTTTTCTTTAGCATTTTATTTTTATTACTTTTATCACTGCAATTATAACACAGCCCTATCATAAGAATATAAAACTAACACAATAAAACGACGATTTCGCGGCCAATATACAATTGTGATAATAGATAGCGCTACGGTCGTCTTTTAGACAATTCGCCACCTCAGAATTAGATTGTTCTATCTCCCAAAATTTAAAGAGGAACAAATAGCAGTTTAAAGTTTAATTTATATACAAATGAAATTTTAAAAAGCCGTTTTTCCGTGTCAGATTTTTGAAAGATAGAATCTCCCAAAACCTAAACACGGAAAAACAGCTTTTTAAAATTTCATTTGTATGTAAATTAAACTTTAAACTGCTATTTGTTCCTCTTTGAATTTTGGGAGATAGAACAATCTAATTCTCAGGTGGCGAATTATTAAACGAACGAATTAAACAAATTTTAAATCTATTAAGAAAATTGTATACTTTTTTAATATGTTTTAATATATCACCTTTAAAAAAAGCTGTTAAATATTTATATATTGTAACAGTTTTATAAATATCATTGATATATATCATTGCTTATATATAAAAATCAATATATATTGTGATAAATATCATGATATATATCGGTCGAACCCTGTTTCCTATTAAAAAAAATAATAAATTGAGACAGCTAATATAGAACTAGATTTATAAACAAAAATTAATAAAAAAAAATTCAATTAAATATAAATTAAGGTTGAAAGTTAGCATCACACTCTATAACCCCATCTCCCCATTATATTGAAATAGTGAAAACTTGGATATATTTCATAGGTTTTGTATGAAACAGAATTCTAAAACAAAAATGAAATGGCAGATAAGTAGCTCCTCAGTACTAATAAAGAATATGATAAAATCTGAAATCTTTAATAAAATATTTCAAATTTAAATTATTTGAATGATAAAACGTACATGTAATTAAAAAGGCAATTTATTTTATGTTAAAAATAACATCTGATAGCATTCTATTGAACAAAATAAGAGGCGAATGACATTTTATTTGGAATAGTGAGCCTAAAAAAAATCTCCCAAATAAAAGTCTTAAAACAAAGCCGTAAAATTGTTTGCCTAGGACTTTTATACATGATTTGTCTTCGTAAAATTGCTGTTGTTAGAGTTCAGTTTTACTGATTAAACATTGCTTCACCTTCGACCTTTTTAAATGTCTCTCCCAGAAACTAACAAACATAATTACAAAAAACGACCTAAAATAAACAAAGACCCAAAATTAATAATCTCTACCCTTTGACCCTCTTAAAATTTTATTGTGTTTAAATTGGATAAAGCCCAAGTCGACTATAAATAACCTTTAGGCAGAATTGAAATTCCAAACAGCCGAAGAGTTTTATCAGAAAAACATTCTTTTCACCAACTACCAAAAGTAATTTAAACTGCGATGAAAGTTTGAAACAAAATAAAGTTTATTTTCAAGTGTTCTATAATTTCAGCCTTATTATTGTCAACCCCCACTACCAAAGTATTCGTTTTTTACATCCTAGTCATAAAAAAACCCGTCAGAATCAATAAAAAAAACTGTTAGATAAAATGTTGTATGCAATTCGGCTGAGACGTGTCTTTTTGTGCTTCGCTCAATTGTAGGCCTCCGCTAACGGGTCGGAGTTCAAACTTTGAGCTCAGCACAAAAAGACTCACTTTTCAGCCTTATAACATAACTTTTTTTGTATTGCAAAATGATCTTTTAGTTAAGAATAATATTACATTACATTATATTCAGCAAATAATTTTTATTCTTGGTAACTATAAGATAATTGAGACTAAGCATTTTTATTTAAATTTCGTAAATAAGTTTTATAAAAGATCAAATTTAGTAATAAGTGCAAAAACTTGCCAGACAGTCAGACACTTGCACAAATGCAATGTGTTTCATATTGCGAATCATGTATGACGCAAGCCACGCACCACACGAATTGATATCATTTTTAAATTTAGCCGAATACATTCCACAGAGTTTTTAGAACTGTGAGAAAAATGTTTTAGAAATTACGATTTTAGGTACAGGTTGTCTCAAATGATCTTAAATATTTAAAAATGTAATCAAAAATCGGTTGTATATAAATCCGGGATTCATGGAGGCCAATTAATGTTACCCATGTATCACAGTAACAACCGGAGTTGCAAAAAATTAGGATCAATTTGTTGGAATTTAATTGAGCTATATGAATAGAGCTGTTAAGTAAACATCAAATAATAGCAGTATATATTTTGAAAACGCAAAAATACTTACAGATTACTAGATACTCGGACAGTTTTGTGAATTATACGATTTTTTGCAACGTCAAAAACTATTTTTGTCTTTATTATGATTAAGCATACACGCTGCATCTAAATCTGCATTTTGGACCGGCGGATGTCATTATTCAATTGCAGGACCATTATAGTAGCGTAGTAAAACGTTTAATACATGTTTTGAAACTTCGGAGCACAAAAATAGATGCGCAATATTTAGGACCTCTTTAATAAAAAAAGAGCAAATACCATTATAAATTCTCTGCATATAAAAAGTACCAAGTGTTTATATTATTTGCAAGAAAAATATTTTTAAAAGCAATTTTGCTAGGTCAATGTCAACTTTTATTGCGCTGTAAAAAAGAATTTACAGACGACAGTTTTTATAAGCTCATAAAGACAGCCCTTGAAACACAGCTGATACAAATTTTGGTAAAAATTTATACAAACCGTTTGCATAAAAGTTGTAAAAAAATTATAGTTTAATAAATTATATTTATTATAGTTGAGTATGTATGTATACATACATATATGGCCAAAGCCATAACAAAAATCTACCTTTGTTATTTAAAAATATACAGGGGATACATATTTTTCTGGTTATAATATAATATGAAAAAAAATACATACATTTTGTGTGGATATTTTGGAAGAATTTACATCGCTAATAAAAAGTTTTGTCCATTAAAGATGTGTTTTAAGGGAGTTTAAAAATGATTTTTTAGATTTTTTACAAATATTGTGGCAATATTTTGATCTTATAAATACAGAAACAGCCCATTTCACGGACAAATAAAATTTAATTGTCTATTTCTTACATAAAATATTGCATTGAATAATTCATAAGAAAACTCAAAACAGATAAGATTTTAGACGCTCGTGTTTTTATTTACTATGTATTCCCCAGCCTTCGCGGTTAATCTATACACAATTGTACAAAGTGGTCTACAATTTTCAGTAGCACGAACACTAAAAGAGATATAAAAAAATACCATTACATTTATTCATAGGAGTTAAGGCTATTTTTAGACCACTATTGTTCAATTATCTTGGACATTACGATAGTAACATAAAACAACCGGCATTGTGACTATAGAGTAAGTTTTGGTTTTAAAAATATCCAGACACGCTTTGTATGTTTCTATCGGTTAACTATTTGTTTGTAAAAGCACGTAAAGTTTGTTAATAGAAATAATCTATTGTTTGTATAGAAAAATTAATCGAACAATAACAATACCTCCATTGTAATATGTATATAGGTCCCATATGGTCAGTTGTAACATGTTGTATATGGAAAGAATGCAAATAGTATTGCAAGTTCTTAAAACACCCACAAATCAGTTGTGAAATTTAAGATTAAGAATGACTAAGGTACAGGTGCAATTTATCGTAATGAGTGCATACATGAATTAAAGAATTTAAACTATAAATTTATTTTCCTATTTCAAATGTTATCCTATTAATAGTCTAGAGTTATAAACAAATTATCAAATATTTAAAATAAAATAAAACTGCTTATACTGTATAACGATAATTTTAATTGCTTGATTAGATATTAATAGTAATAGTA